AATGCCTTTGCCACGCCCAAGTCTGAGCTACAAGCATGTCCATCCCCAGCCAGTGCACACCGTGTCCATTAGGTGTGAACATAACCATCCCCCCCCACCTGCCCAACACCCGATGAATGTTACTACTATATGTGGACATAAGTGTGTTGATAAATTAGTACCATTTTGATGGTGAGTACATGTGGTGCTTGTTTTTCCATTCTTGGGATACTTCACTTAGTAGAACGGGCTCCAGCTCTATCCAGAATAATACAAGAGGTGCTAGATCACCATTGTTTTTTGTGGCTGAGTAGTTAGTACTCCATGGTATACATATGCCACATTTTATTAATCCACTCATGTATTAATGGGCACTTGGGTTGTTACCATATCTTTGCAATTGTGAATTGTGCTGCGATAAACATTCTAGTACAGATGTCTTTTTTATAGAATTTCTTTTTTTCCTTTGGGTAGATGCCCAGTAATGGGATTACTGGATCAAATGGTAGTTCTACTGGTATCTCTTTGAGGTATCTCCATATTACTCTCCATTGAGGTTGTACTAGTTTGCAGTCCCACCTGCAGTGTATGAGTGTTCCTATCTCTCTGCGTGGACGCCAACATTTGTTGTTTTAGGACTTTTTGATAAAAGCCATTCTCACTGGAGTTAAGTGATATCTCATTGTGATTTTGATTTGCATTCCCCTGATGATTAGAGAAAATTTTCATATGTTTCTTGGCCATTAGTCTGTCTTCTTTTGAAGTTTCTGTGTAACACTGTTTAATGGGGTTGTTTGACTTTTTCTTATTGATTTTCCTGAGTTCTATATAGATTCTAGTTATCAGTCCTCTATCAGATGTGTAGCTTGTGAATATTTTCTCCCATTCTGTAGGTTGTCTATTTGCTCTCATGGTAGTTTCCTTGGCTGCTTAAAATATTGTTAATAAGAGAGCAGCTACTACTACTTTGTGCATTTGAACCTTGCCTATAAATATCATCTCATTATCCCTTGAAAGATGACACAGAGCAAATGTGGCCATGTTTTAGAGGTGAGGAAACTAAGATTCTAAAAGATAAAATGTTTTCTCTATTGAGTCCACACAGGAAGTAAGTGAAGAAATGTAACTGGAAAGTGCTCTTGTCAAATCTGCTGTCTGAACCTCCGGTGGCACCAAGTGAGGATGATTTTAAAACTTTGTTCAGCCAAAAAACTTATTATCATTCAATGGAGTTAACAGTGTAAACTAGGGAGAACAAGACTATTTTCAACTACAGGTGAAGTGTGTAGAAATACAAACACTTAGCTGTTACTCTTAAGTAATTTACATCTTTAAAAAGCTACAAAAGTCCTCTGAGACATTAATAAGAAAAAACACAGATTTTCAAACAATTCAAGTGTAGATTTATCTAATTACAACAAGATTAATTAAAAATTTATCTTCAGAAACTTCTGCTAAAAGCACAATCTATTTTGCCTTGTCTATAAAGAAACTTTAGGAATCAGTCATATCCCTGAACACTTGACAGATTAACACATAAAACCCCAAATATGCGTGGACTAACATGTCATCCTCTCTGTGGCGTCCAAAAAAACATGTCATCTATAAAACAGAGAAAGAGAGTGAAGTTCAAAAAGCATTTTGGCTTTGCTTCTTGGCCTTTTGACTAAGATCAAATGTAGTATCTGTTCTTATCCATTAAATATATGTTTTCTAATGGAGGACAATATGTTAAATGGATGTGTGGAGCAGGGAGGTAGAATAGGAGCCTGTTCTGTCCACTGCATGCATCAACCTGGTACTGCAGGTACTTTAGATTATAAGATAAATTATAATTGTTGGGATTTTTGTACATGTTTTTAAATTTAATGGGGTTAAAATATTTTGGAAAAATTATTATGCTGCGTTAGAAAACCACATCCTTTCTGTTTAGGAACCATCCCACTTAGCCTCAAAAAGGAGCAGAAGATGCTTTGTTCTTAGGCCATTGGTGAAGGATGATAACAATATCCTCACTCATTGGCACCCTTACATAGAACATTTCTGCCATGCCTTTCTTTTGATCAGAGGTAGCCTTCTGGGCTAATTTCAACTATTTGACAGGAGTGCTGATAAGAACCTCTTAGGTGATCAGGATCTAATAAGCCTATCACAGACGTTGTGTTACAACCCCCCTTTTCAGTTGTATCTTCTTTATGAGAACTGTGTGTTTGAAACTTTCCACACCTTCTGTTGGCCCCAATGGTGATTATTTTTCTGTTTGGAAAATGTGAGATAACTCATCTGAGATGATTTTCTTTTTTAATACTCCCTGGGGAAGATATATATAATTTCTTACTTTGAAAGTTTTCCTTTAAAAACAATTTCTTCTGAGTTTCCTTCTCTGTTCTGTCATTCTGCTACTTGTGCTGGAAAATGATGTTACTTATTTTTGGCTTCATGAGAGTAACAACTGGCCACTTAAAAATTAAGCTTTATAGGCTGGACACAGTGGCTCATGCCTGTAATCCTAGCACTCTGGGAGGCCGAGGCGGGCAGATCGGTTGAGCTCAGGCGTTTGAGACTAGCCTGAGCAAGAGCAAGACCCCGTCTCTACCAAAAATAGAAAAAATTAGCCGGGCCTGGTGGTGCATGCCTGTAGTCCCAGCTACTTGGGAGGCTGAGGCAGAAAGATCGCTTCAACCCAGGAGATTGAGATTGCTGTGAGCTAGGCTGACGCCACCAGCACTCTAGCTGGGGTTAACAAAGTGAGACTCTGTCTCAAAAAAAAGAAAAAAAGAAAAAAAATTAAGCTTTGTGTTCAATGTCTCCCATACTTACAAGCAAATTTCTTAAATTTTGCTTAAGAGCAAAATTACACTGGAAGTGTGGGTTTTCAAAATGTTGCTCGTTCTAGAATCTGTTTAAGACTTGAAGCTGTACAGCAGAGATAAAATAAGCAATTAAAATAATTTTTTGCATGTTTTCTAAAAGCCTTTGAGGTATTACCTAAGTTGCTTAATTATTAGTTAGTACAACGTCTTGGCAAAGTATCATGATTGCTTTTCTCAGTTTTCAGTTCCTTTTAGACCTTTTTTTCTTTTTAAGCTTCTCCTACCTTGTGAGATGATTCAAAATATTTAAATGCGAAATATGTACTTATGAAACATTTGAATTATCCATTTAACTAAGAAAATATTAGGAAATAAAAAATTTATGGTATGACTTCTACTACCATTCGGAATGGTATAACAGGGACCAGAATTAACCTCCCACCTAAGATAATTAGACAACTGGACAAAATAAGTGAGATAATTGTTTTGATACATCAGATAGTAGACAGTACAGGACAGTGATTTCTCAGAGAAAGAAACGAATAAGGTGAGTCCTATGATTGCCGCTGGCTGTAGGAGATTTTCCAGGCTGCAGCACAGCTTGGAAGAGGAACCCAAACAGAACTTGGCCATCTCTTTTGAGCTGAGGAAACAGCATGAAAATCTGGGAGGCAAAGGCATCAGAATTTGCAAGGTAAAAATCAGAGGAGAAAGCTACACAAAGAGCTCTGAAAAGTTCTCCTTGAGTCTTCAGTTGAGTAATAATTAATACACACACGTGAGAAAAACTACCAAGGCTGGAGAAAAGAATCACTGGAAAAGAGCAAGCAGAACAAAACTTGGAGCTACAAGGGCCGGAAATAGTTTGTGTTCCAACCAGATATTAATAGGGTGGAAAAATTCGGATATTATTTTACAATGTATGAACAATTTAATAAATTAAAAAAAGAGATAACTATATATATAGGTAACTTAAAATGTAAAAAAAAAAATCACATCCATAATTTCCATCTAGCTTATTAAAGTCATAGTATTGGGCAGTACTAATTAAAATAGTAAAGTTATGTTTTATCTCTCTTTTATTCAAAAGTGAGAATATTTGAATTTATAACCTCATTATCATTTTTCCTCTTGGCTCTAACCCAATGATGTAGGAACTATTAACCCCATTTAACACATGAATAACTGAGTTTCAGTGAAGGTAAGACATTTTCCAAAAGTTGTACAGCTAGTAAATGGCAGAGCCAGGATTAAATCCTATTTCTTTTTCTCTTTTTGCCCTGGGGTAAAGAGTACAGTGGTGTCATCATAGCTCACTGCAGCCTTGAACTCCTGGGCCCAAGTGATCCTCCCACCTCAGCCTCCTGAGTAACTGGGGTTACAGGCACATACCACCATGCTCAACTAATTTTTTTGTTTTTCTGTAGAGATAGGGTCTTGCAATGTTGGCCAGGCTGGTCTAGATCTCTTGGCCTCAAGTGATCCTCCCCACTTTGGCCTCCTAAAATGCTGGGATTAGGCATGAGCCACTGTGTCCAGCCCATACATGTATTTCAAGGAGTGTTTTATCTATCATTAGTTTTTGTACATAATACTCTTGTGAAACTCATGGTCAGAAAACATTGTTTAACTTATTTTACAAGCAGATAAATTGTAGCCTAAAGTGGCTGCACTGCTAAAAGCATCTGGAGAAGTCTAGGGAAGTAAAAAAAAAACAAAAACTAAACAATCATCAATAAAACCTTTTACAAAAATTTTATCAATCATCTAAATTATAAAAGTAATTTATGCTTCTTATAACAAGGGAAATGATCCAGAGATATGTAAAGAAAAGGTATTAATCTCCCCAGATTCATGCTTCTGAGGGGCAGTCAGATAAACACTAGGGCAATTCAGATTCAGAGTTTAGGAAATATACTGCTTCCTATGAACAGGCATAGCACTGAGTGCTATATGTTAGTAATTATATACCATATTGCTAATAAACCCATTTTTTTCAAGAATGATTACTATTTTTATCTCATGTAATGCTCTCAATATATCCTACAGGTAGTATTGTGTTTGAAATTTAAGTGCCTAAATATTATTATATTAAGTCAATAAATACCTTTAATTATACATAAAATTACCATATTAATACTAGCAACAATCTATTTAAAAATATTTTTAACATATTTTTTTTCTACTAATCTTTTTACAAAATCTCAGAAAATCTGCACAGCCTCCTGGAATCATCCAATAATTGTTACTAAGTCACTATCAACAGTAGTGATAGTGACTTAACTCTGCGTGTCTTCTTTTTGGGTGAGTAGCAAAGTAAGAGTGTTTTAGCAGGAATAAATATGCCTATGCGAACAAGAAATTATTGGAAGTCCAGCATTTATTCTGATATTCAATATTATAGCAGATCCTAAATATTAAACTTAGTAGTACCCATAGTAAATATAGAGTTCTAAACTTTTTATTTCTAGCATTTTCTTTAGCTACTTAGCAATGACTTCCTTTTAAAGGATAGAACTTACTGCCACTGCAAATTCTTTTTCATAAGCATGTGATGATGGAAAGTATATTATATAAATCTCTTTCAAAAGATAGAGCTCCAAAGATACTATAGTTCCAAAATGTAGGTTTAGTTTTTTAAAAAAATTTAAATATAATACTAAATATGAGACGACTGAACTAGTGTAGTGTTCAAGTTTTGATGTTCCATTTCATTCTTTAAAAAAAAGTTTTGCTTTTCCTTTTACAGGCAGGTTCTTGCTCAGACCCTGGAATGCAGCAGCCTGATCAAGTAATCCTTCTGCCTCAGCCTCCTGAGTAGCTGGAACTACCGGTACATGCCACCATACCTGGCTAAATTTTTAAAAGAAATTTTGTAGAGATGGTGTCTCATATTGCCCAGGCTGATCTTGAACTCCTGGCCTCAAGTGATACTCCTGGCTTGGCCTCTCAAAGTGCTGGGATTATAGGTGTGAGTCCCCATGCCCAGCTGCTTTTCCTGATTTAAAAATAAATAGTTATTATTTTTAAAAGTGGAAAATATAGGAAAGCACACTAAAGAAAAAGAAATAATCAGTAATTGCTCCATCTAGATATTATAATCTCTCTATATATTTTGAAGGCTATCTTTGTAGTTTATTTTTTCCTAGGAACTGCAATTATTTTTTATTTTAGTCCTATGCTAGCCTCTTCGGATAAAGCTAAATACAAAGAATTTTACAGAATACAGATATAATAAGTGGGATACAATGTAATCTACCCTTCCCCTCCACCCTTCTCCCATGATAGAAGCTACTTCTAGTCCTTATTCTGTCCTATCTGGACTGTCATATAGAATTAGTGAGTAAAGACAGACACATTTATATTTTTAACAGAATAAATGAAACTGAGAAAAGCCAAAATTTTCAGATAAATATTTTAATTATAGTATCACACAAAGCAGAACAAAGTTGTGTATATACAAATACAATTATTTATAAATATGTAATCATATGTATAAAAACTAGAAGGGACTATCCAGAAAAATATATATTCAGATACTGGGGTTATGTTTCTTTTTTATTATTTTATAATATACTCAACAAAACATTATGATGAAGTAGGACTATTTTAGGCTAGAGAATCTTATATAAATGAATTTGTTCAAGAGCTTCTCTGTCAATATCCTTTTCTGCATATACATCGTAGTTCAGTGGTACTTCTTCAATCCATAGGGATAACTGTATATTAGTCTAGGAAAAAAAAGATTATAAACACAGATGAAAATTGCAGAATGATTCTACTCTCCGGAATTTCAAGAAATCATTGCTAAATTATAATAATTGAACACAACAGATTGTATTACAATGGACAGGACAAAGTCTATACAATGCCACATGACTACTTCTTTGTTATACTAAATGACAGATTCATGGATTTAGGAACTTACTATACTCTGATTTTGGAACTTGAAAGAATATGGAAGTTATAACACAAATTGGAGACTACGTATATTAAAAGATATGTTTTCACAAGTATGGAAAAGTATGGTAGGGTCACAGTACTCAAGGAGTAGAAATCTCAAAGAGAAGGAATGAAGGGGGGAAACTGGGGAGATTAGCACCTTTTCTTCACATATCTCAGCATCATTTCCCTTGTTGTAACAAATTATTTTTATAATTTGATGATTGATAAAATATTTTTAAAAAGGTTTTACTGATGATTTAGTTTTTTTTTTTTAAGAGACAGGATCTCACATTGTCACCCATGCAGTGGCCTGATCATAGCTCACTGCAACCTCAAAATCCTAGGCTCAAGTGATCCTCCTGCCTCAGCCTCTTTAGTAGCTGGGACTACAGGTATACATCACCACTTAATATGGTCAACTCATGGCCTCAAGCAATTCTCTTGCCTAGGCCTCCCAAAGTGCTGGGATTATAGGTGTGAGCCACCATGCCTGGCATCATTACTTAATTTTTTGAAGGGAGAAACTGGTAGTTAAATTTGGCAGTGCTTATATGCAAGAAAAGCACGACTAGAGAAAATGATAATATTCTGTATTAAGAAATACAACAGCACCTTTCACATAGGGATCTCAAAGAGCCTTTCAAATACTAATTAACTTGCATATAGTTTATTGGGTTGAATTTTATTATTAAATATTGGCCTAATTTTATATGGAGAATCTAGGGAACAAAGAAGTTGTCTGTGTAAAATTTTAAATGGACCTAGAAGCCAAAGTGCACATAGTATGTGGGGTCCAGTCTACTCATTCGATTCTAGAAGCCTTGAACAGCTCTGTTCCTTTTGTTCTGAGGGACAAAGTTATGATGTAGGTGTTCTAAGTCTCTTGCAAACCTTCAATAGTGTTTGTTAATCTAAAACTATAACCTTACAGTTAGAAAAAACTGGGCAGAAAAGCAATCTTTATCAAGAAAAGATTACAATCTCAGAGCTCTTGAGACCAGTGAATAAATCACAAACCAGTGCTTAAGCCATAAAGTCCTGCTATTTTTCCTATCATCTGTCACTATTTTTAGATAGAACATTTCTATAATATTATAATAGCTATCAGAAAAAAGCAGGGGGAAGTTTTGACAATCAAAATGTTGAAAAGGAGGCTTACATACCTGAAGACCTGAGAGAGAATCTTTAAGACTTGGTACTGTCACTAGCAATGAACCTTGCTTCCTTACATTATGGCTAATGTATTCCCAGGCTCTACAACACATTAAAAAATGACACATTAAAACAATAATGAGATATTGCTACACACCTATTAGAATGGCCAAAACGCAGTACATTGACAACATCAATTGCTTGGAAGGATATGGAGCAACAGGAACTCTTATTAATTGCTAGTGGGAATTCAAAATGGTACAGTCACTTTGGTAAACAGTTTGGAGGTTTCTTATAAAATTAAACATACTCTTACGATATAATCTAGCAATTGCACTCCTTTGTATTTACCCAATTACTGAAAATTCATGTCCATACAAATGTCTACACATGGATATTTACAGCAGATTTATTAATAACTATCAAAATGTGGAAGCAACCAAGACATAGATGAATGGACAAATAAACTGTAACATATCCACACAATGGAATATTATTCAGCACTAAAGAAATAAGCTATCAAGCCATGAAAAGATATGGAGAAACCTTAAATGTATATTACCAAGTGAAAGAAGCCAATCTGAAAAGGGTGTATATTGTATGATTCCAATTATATGACATTATGGAAAAAGAAAAACTATGGAGACATTAAAAACATCAGTGGTGAATGGAGAGGCAGGGATGAATAGGCAGAGCACTGAGGATTTTTAGGGCAGTGAAAATTTTATGTGTGACACTTATGTGTTAGATTTTACCAGACATTTGGTAAATGAGGTTTTGTAAAAAATGAGAATAACAAAAGAATTGCAGCACAGGTGATATCTAGAAATCCAGATGGGCAAAAATGTCTGCCTGTAGGAAACAGGACTGCAACAGCCTACTGGAAATTGGTAAATTCTCCAGTTCCTGAGGGGTGTTGGCAAAACTGTAAGGTTATAGTACAAAGGAGATTAACAAGATGGGGATTCAGGTTACTACAAGGTATTATGAAGAAGGCCAAACTCAGTTTTCAGAACTGATACACAAAGGTGGATCAGCAGTTAAAGCCCCTTAAATTCTTTATGAAGTATGACAGAATTGGTTCTACAGACGGAATAGGACTGAGATAGTTGGGAGTGAGGGTAGGGAAGAGTAATAGAGAAACAAAGTCCACAGAAGCCAGAAACCAAACAATGACTAACAATAAGAGAGTGTAATAAGTAGATTAGCTCTTTTGAAGTAACATTGAGAGTGAAATCATACTTAATTTGGCTGTTAGTAATATTCAATGGAAGGACTTCCAGTACAACATGGCACTTAAGAAGTTTAAAGGGATTAGTCAGCTTTAAAGCATAATGGAATGCTGTGTGCATGTGTGTGTATCAGAGGGCAGTGTTTGTTTGACCAGTTCTGTTTAACCTTTAGTGTAGACATGAACTGGATTTCTACACTATGCATGAGTCTTGATAGTACACCACACCATTGGGTAGCAATGATTAAGCAATACAGGGACGTGCACCTTTGCGGTGTGGCAGGCAGGCGGTAATATAGTTTCCGTTTATTTTGGTTACAGCAATGGCTATTAGGTCTAGTAAGTTCTGGAGCTTATTAGGCAAAATGATACAAACATTCTTTTTCTTGGTCTAGATATAAAATCATGAAGCAGTGTTCAATAATAAATGTCACTGTGTTTGGACTAGAGCTGTTTTGTTATTTTGATGTGGTTCCTAAAAATGACATCTTTTCTAAGTTTATTTAATAAGAATGAAGAAGCCCAGTATATTGGCATGGTTCAATATAGACTTGCTATTTCTGATAAACTGTCACTGTAGTAGTTGTATCTGTTAAATCTACTGAAATAGTACACAGAAGTACCTTTTAAACTAAAAATTACAAATCCGGGGTACTACTCTTTAATGAGATCTAACTTAATTCTGAAGCCTGAGCCCTTTCTGAGTATACATTTTCTACTATTGTGATGTATTTCAGTTGTTACTTATATACCAATTCCTACAGTAGTATCATTCTATTTGCTTTCAGATTCTGATTAATATTACAAGACTTTGGATGTTAAATAGCTGTATAGTCTATTCTCTTTCACTTACTACAAAATAGAATTAATATAGGTAAATGATTGGTTTTGTCAGAATGATTCCAATATCATTCACAATGAAGATAATTAATCACAAGAGTCTATAACCTATCTATATTTAGAATTCAATATACTGGACTAATTTAGGAGAAGGGATTGAGTTAAACCATATGGCTAATTCCTATTCAGTGAATCATGAAGAGTTTGTGAATAAATGTACCAAGAAAGTTTTTTTTTAAAACAGAGTCTCACCTCTGTTGTCAGGGGTAGAGTGCCATGGCGTCAGCCTAGCTCACAACAACCTCAAACTCCTGGGCTCAAGCAATCCTCTGCCTCAGGCTCCCGAGTAGCTGGGACTACAGGAATACACCATCATGCCCGGCTAATTTTTTCTATTTATTTTTTTAGTTGTCCAGATCATTTCTTTCTATTTTTAGTAGAGATGGGGTCTCGCTCTTGCTCAGGCTGGTCTCAAACTCCTGCCTCGGCCTCCCAGAGTGCTAGGATTACAGGCATGAGCCACCATGCCTGGCCAATAAAGTTTTTTAAAAAACCCAAATAAGCAGTATTTCCCATATCAAGTTTACCAATAGCTTTCATCACTGTTCAGCATTCAAAACCTTTCTATTGGCCGGGCACAGTGGCTCACGCCTATAATCCTAGCA